TACTGTACTGTACTGTACTATACTACTACTATATACTGTCTCGTCCTTCGTGGTCATGCCGATGGACTCCGGGTTCCGAGGCTGCCAAATGAGCGACAAGAGCAGAGCACTCCCTTGTAAGCAAATGTGAATCTCCATGCACCTCGGCTGGATTTCCGGCCTTTGTGCTTCACAAAGGCCTCACGCACTCTGGAAGTGCAGCTGCGTGGTCAATGATGGTGATGCATAAAACTCTTGTGAGCAGTCAACCTTGCCTGACTTGTGCTGCTGTCGGTGGCAGCAGTGCTTCCTTTGCTACCGTTACGTCCGCTACGTCCTTTGCTGCCGGCGCGATTGCTTTTGTGGCTGCGGGGATCCTGGCATTCGAACCCTCGCCATTCTGAGCTTCAACGGCATCCTCAACGGCGACCTCCAAGTCCTGTGCCACTGAAGGCGGAGATTCGTCGGAACCTGACAGGTCTCTAGGTACGAAGCTCAAGTGACATGAGAATCCCATCGAGGCAGAAGGCACTGCCTCTGTCCGGGTCTGCTGCTTCTCGAAGAGCTTCTTCTCGCTCTTCTCTCTCACGCCTCTTCTTTTCGGCCTTCAGCTGGTTGGGTCAAGAAAAGCTCGAGGCTTCTTGTGGGTTCGCGTCCCCCTAACCCTAGCCCAATGGGTCACAGAGCAGCACGCGTTACGAGGCAGACTTGCCCAGCGTGCGAAGACCGAGGCAAACCCAAGAAACCCTGCAGCATACTGTCATGTTCGTTTTAAGGGTTTAAGGTTTAGGGTTCAGGTCACATGCCCGAATCATTTGGGTCGTGCAGGAATTTATGCGGCACCTACGTAGCTAGTTGAGCTGCTCTGCAGAATTCGGGATCCCCGATACCTGTTTAGATCGTCGTGGCCCATGATGGTCTATGGTTTAGGGTTGAAGCCATGCCCAGGAAACCAGAGCTAACCAGAATACCAGAATGCCACAAACCGAAACCTGGAACGCCTTAAGATAATTCACCAGTCATGCAGGGATTCCTCTTAGTCTTGGGAGCTCCGGCTAAAGCTTGCTCGTGAGCCTGATAAGGATCAGTTTCGGTACTGGGCTGCGGTACATGTCAGACAACCTTTCAAGTTACTGTTGAGACTAAGGCAGTTGGCTAGATCTGAGCAGACGGTGATGCGTACAAATGTCGAGACCTCGAAAAGGAAGAAAGCAGAGCTTCGGAGCATCTCTACAGCTACAGTATTGTATCACCGCAAAAGCTTTATGGGTAGTTCTCTAAATTAGGATCCCTTTCTAGGTCCCCAATATAGTACGGCACCCTTATAAAAAGGACCCCAGAAGGGACCCTAGTTTGGAAAACTACCCTTATTCAAGGTATCCAGGACCCCTGGCTCCGAACCCGGAATCTTCAAACCAAAAGGACCTGATTCCTGGGCATCCAACTCGCTCAAAGATGATCCGGTCCTGCTCAGTAGCCTGGCTTCTTCAGAGGTCCAGGAACGGCTAGCTCGAATTCCTGGTCTTGTATAGTAGAGGGTTTAGGCTTTTGGGGCAGGGCTGAAGTTTAGGATTTTGGGCTTCGGGCTTCCGGTTTGGGGTGTAGGGTAGCTGGAAGATTGACAGGTTGAGGGGTTCAGGCTGAGGTATGCTGAGAGTGGTGCTTGGGCATCAGACCTGCACGTAGATGAGACCATAAGTTGGAACATCCCTGCGTCTCGCGTGCTGCGAAAACGATGCTGTCTGCTGCTCAGTAACGCTTTGCAAAAGCTGTGGACGATGGCACTCCAAGTTAGTTGCAATGTAAGCATGCAAGTGTTGTGTATTGTCGTCACTCTGCCCTGCCCTAGTCTGGTAAGGTGTCCTAGGCTTGGCTTGCTGCAGAAGCGAATCGCCACGGGCCCGCATAGCATCTCTGACTCCCCGCAAGCTGCACCTCTTCGATGGGGTTCTTGTGCGCAGGATCCAGGTGCAGCGGGATCTCAGATCGGCGACCCAATCCAAGGCTCTGATCTTTGATGGGCGACAGAGGCATGGGCCGCTATTAGGAGCCAGAGGTCCTGGCGATTCCTGTCAAACTTAAAACGTTCCCAATGTCAATTTCCTAAAAAAACATAACATCGGGACCTCCAGGTGAAGGCACAAAGCCCGGTGCACAGGCCAAAGAGGATGATGCCTCCAAGCTCACACGACCAAACAATCTCAAACACTTCCTGGACCAGACCAGAGGCGCAGGGGATCCGGCCTACCACGACGAGTATGATGTACTCATTGTGGAACACCCCGTCACCTGAAACAGGCAATTCTTCAGGATCATCTGTTATCGCACAGGTTTTCTTAACGCATCCGTGAGCTCTCTAATTGCATAACCTCAGGTGCCGGTAATCCGGTCACCACAGCCCCCCATCAGCCTGCCATCAAGGTCTTGCTGCCCTCTTCAAAGTCAAGGCCACCTTCGCTTTTGCACTGGCTGCGGAACTATGGTAGTTTCAAACAACTTACCCTATTTAGGGGTCCTTATTATAAGGATCCTACTATTTAGGGTCCTATATCAGGGTCCCCTATTTTCTGAAACTCCCCTATGGGAAACCAGCAGATCCCGAGCGGCCTCACACCGAGGTTCTTCAGCTGGCACTGGCCATGGCCCAGTGTTAGGGCTCCAAGGCTACGAGCCGAAAGGCCTGGTTGAAAGCTACGCTTAACGGTTTAGGGCTTAGGGTTTAGGGTTTAGGGTTTAGGGTCCTTGCAGCACTGTCGCCTACTCTGGTAATGACAGTGACCGTCGATCGTGTCCGGGGGGGGGTTGCGAAGTTGAAGGCTTGCAGCTACAAGCTTGCAGCCCAAAAGGCAGCACCAGGTTGGCACACAACATATTCGAACCTGAACCCATACTATACTATACTATACTATACTATACTATACTATACGATACCATACTATACTATGCTATACTCTACTCTACTCTACTATACTATACTATACTATACTATACTATACTATATAGTTTATATTATGACCATGTACTTTTTATTTTCTCTTATATAGTACAAGTGAAAGCCCAAGCCCCCAGTCATCCCAGCCCTTCACAGGCAGCCGCGCACTTGCAGGCGACGTCCGTGACTGCGACATCCACATCTCCGTTGGGCAAGGAGAGGCCGGTGAAGAAGGATCCAAAAACCGAGACCTGCCAAGGTATCCTTACTAATGATGATGATGATGATGATGTTGATGGTGATGATGATGGTGATGACGGTGTGTATATATATATATATATGTGAGTGTATATGAACAGATATATATATATATATATACATATATTAAGAAACCATATGCCACTATACATACATATATCTATGAACATGTACAACGATTATATTAATATATTTACATGTTGATATACTGAGATGATTATATATTACATATTGATATATATATATATACACATGTATGTGTATATAAATACACACATACACATATATATATATATACACATATGTAAACATACATATATATATATATATACATATAAATATACATATAGACATATATACATATACATATGCTTATGTTTACAAAATACTATATACATATATATAGATAGAGAGAGAGAGAGAGAATAGTTGTGTTATGGTGTATTTTATCGCATGATAGTATATTCTGTTATAATGCATTTATATTTGTCCACACACACATAAACATGTACTTGTAAACATAAAAACATACATGTACGTGTGTGTATGTATATATATAACAACAGACATATAAACAACACATACATAAAACTAACATACAAAGAATACAAAAGCCCGCTACCTCTAGGGCCTGTTTCACCACAGTGTCATCTTCACAATATTCCTAGCTCAGCATAGTTGGATTTTATCAGGATAAACCTCGTGACATTTGTGGATGTATTGGAACATGACATCTATCTATAGTCTTCCTGCACCCATGTCAACAACAACGATGACGACGACAGCGGCAGCGACAGTGACGCCACATGCCACCATCACCTCCAACAGCAACAACAACAACAACGACACGACCAGGATGACAACCGAGTGTTAGCATCATTGCATGAGACTCTCTTTTTGCAAATACAAGCACCAACACAACTGTGATTCTGTTCCGACAACAGTCGCTCCAATCAGCAATTTGCTGACACGGTCGACATGACACTTTGTCACTGACACGGATGAAAGCAGCACAAGCTGGCAGCACGAAGAAGAAAGTCAATGACTAATATTGTGGTCCTGATTTTTTGATATTACTCGTACTGGAGGCGGTATGACTGATGACAGTGGCATTGCTAGTAATTACCGCTGTTCTTCGTCTTACTCGCGCTGTTCTCGCTGATCGTCCTCAACTCGGTGTGCAATTTTGTGCTGAGCTGCTTTCCTGCTTCGGCTGTGATAAAACTCAAGCGATGTTATCGAGGCTATGTCACGTCACAGATGAGGTATGCCAAGGTCCCCCGCCCTCAACAAAAAACACCCACTGGTCGAGGCCCACCTTGCAGCCTGGCCACAAAGCCTTGCAGGTGTCCTTGATGGTCTGCACCTTACTCACCATTGCAATGAGAATGATAAGTTCTAGTAGGCTGGCCAACACTCACGCCCCAGTAAATACTGACCACTGATCAAGCATCAGACCCATCTTCGCCGGGCATGCACCTGCAAATGTGATCCTTTCATTCACCGACGATCGTGTAACACTGCAGAACGGCCTCCTCTTGAGTATGCTGCATGAAGTCGACGAAGTCTAAGATCTCCTAGTGCACAAGCTGTGGGTTTTTCTAGTTGGAGATTTGGGCAACAGCAGCTGGCCTCGTGCAAGCGGAGAACCTGCCGTAGCCACCATCAAGCGAGCAAACGAACATGCAACACACCCCAGCATCGCAGCAGCTTTGCGCACCGCGTTGTCGATGTGGGGCCGTGGAACGAACCTATAGGCAAGCCAAAAACTTCCAGAGGCTGGGATCGCATTGACTCGGCCAAGCAGCCATGGTGGTTGGCCCTCGTCGGCCACTGCCCTTCTCGAGGGGACGCTTTTCGTGTTGGTGACACCCATAAACGCCTCAGCTGGGTGCAGGTAAGCCTTCACCAAGCCCGCAACGAAATAAAAAGTCGAAGGTGAACGCAACGTCCGGTAAGCTTCTCTGCACTGACGTTTACACCATGCTAACACTTTCAAGCCTCGGGAGCTGCCGCGGCTTGTTCTTCGCGCGGCTCTTCCCGGCCTCGTCGAAGTCTGATTATCGTGTTGTGAATTGGCACTATTCGTTTGATTCTTATGGGTCTTCTTTCTCTATCTACATCAACCTTTCGTGATAGTCACTGCAACTATGACGGCCGTCCTTCTCTTAAGAAAGACTGAGATGATCAAGATCACCACAATCGGCAACAACAACAACATCAACAGGAGAACCAGTCCTCAGATTATCATCATGAACACTACAGGCCACCGTCATCATATCGCCACAATCATCATGTTCATCTTCGTCGACATCATCACCATGCACAACGATGTCTTGTTTCGCGACGGGATTTGATGCCCATACTGCTCAAGTTACATATATTGCGGTCACTGGGCTGCACTCTGCTACTATGATGCTCGAGACACATTGAAGTCATTCTGACTGATATGCTGATGGACGGCCGAAACCAACAGTGCTGGTTGTCACGATTCCGACAGGTTCATTGTGAAATAATGTGGGGGGGGTAGTATGTATGCGTGTGTGGGTTATCGTCGTTCTGGTGATTAGTATGCCGAATGCGCTTCGGTTGCAATTACAGGTCTCTCCATACCATGATGCAAATGTATGCTGAAATTCGTGGCGCAACTTGGAACATCTTGGAATCGTTGTTGCACATGCTGCAGTATGCCGAACATGCACGCTGATCACGCTGATGGTCGCTCTGCCTGTTGCTGTCATTAGTCCTGGCTACGAACATCTGCTACGTCTGGTAGGCAGAGTTCTCAACTTCGCAAATGTCGTAATGACTGTGGCTGTTGTGATGCTTACTAGCATGCTGCTTCTTACATCTTCTTGCCAAGCACCATGGGTGAGAGTCACACCCTGATTTGAGATGTGTCAGCCGTGTCCCAGGACGAGCATTGTCTGTGAAGGGCTCCAATCCTCTCTCTCAATCATGCTCATGGTGCACATCAAAAAGAAATTCAAGGAAGACATGCTGCTTCCAGTCAACACAGGCAGCAAAGCGCTTAAAAAAGCCTCTTCAACCTTCTTGCTCTTAAAAACCCTTCAACTCGGTGGTTCTACGGGCACGAGGTCGGGTGGCTTTACCGTTTAAAAAGACTCGGAAAGTGGCGCTACTGCTGACTGCTACCGCTGCCACGGCTGCTGTGCCCAGAGACGGAGGGGTTTCGGGGGTTAGGGCTTAGGGAAATATAGGGGCCTTAATACTTAGAATAGGGTTTTGGGGCGCATTATAGTATACTTCCTAACAAGGAACCCCAAAATAGGACTAGTAGTTATTTAGGCCCCTATTTTTTCTCCTTAGCACAGAGCCTCCCGAGCCTGGGAAGGGCCCAGGGATCCTTTCCGGGCTGAGCAGCGGGCGTTTTCTGAGAAGAGATCGCATGGTAGCGTTTCTCTCCGCCTTGCCAGGGCATCGGAGGGGATGGTGTTTTGGGGCCTATAGTTAGGGTAGTACTTTTGTAGAGATTTGGTGGAGAGAAGTTGCTCAAGTCCGTGCCAGCAGGCTCGCCTGCTCTGCATTTCTCTCTGCATCTTCCTCGATCAAGGCCTCATCCTCACAAATTGCGCAGAGAGAGGAAGAGACAGGGGCAGGGAGGGACCACTATTGCCATCATTGCCTCTTCCCGGAGCCATCCAGGTCTCGAGGTCACCTAGGCCCAGCACTCCGTTACTTGGAGGACCATGGGACTTAGTAAGTAAGGTCATAAGTCCACTAATTGGGGTTATAAGTACAGATACCTTATTTATAACCCTACTTACTAAGTCCCATGATCCTTCAAGCACGGCCCAAAAGGCGACAAAGCAGCTTCTGAAACCGCGGAGGGTCCCTGCCTCGGAGTCCATGGCTGCTTGCGCAGCTCTGCAGCTCAGGAGAAACACCGTGCGTCTTTAGTATCTTAAAGTATACCGCTTACTGTAGCATTTGTGTGTAGAGCTCGGTGGCATTCTGTGGCTGTGATTTGGAGCAGGCTGCGCTAGGCAGCGCAGGGACGTCAACTGAACAAACGTCAATGACCTGGGGATTGTGGGACTGAAGTGCAGTCAAGGCTGTCCAAACCTCCTCGTGCGCGGACTCAGCTGTTTAATGGCTCTCGCATCTTGATCCAACAAGCTAAAGTAAGCTAAGAAAACATCCGGAAGCTCAACCTCACTCGGCATCCCGTGATTCTCCGAGATGTTGCTGCAGATGCATTGAAGACCTTTCTCTCTAGCCATCTGTCGCGGCGGAGACCTGCTCACGAAGCTTTGTCACCTGCAGGAAGTTGCCGGCTCCCATTGCGGAAAACATGTGGGTAGTTCTCTAAATTAGGGTCCCTTTTTAGGTCCCAATATAGTACGGCACCCTTATAAAAAGGACCCCAGAAGGGACCCTAATTTAGAGAACTACCCTTATAAGCCCCTTAAAACCCCTAATCCTAAGGCTTATAAACCCTATAGAGCCCTTAAACCCTAAACCCCTTAATCCCTAATTTAGAGAACTACCCAAATAGAGCCTTTATAGTACCCTTAGAGAAACCTTATCGGAACCCTTACATATCCCTTCAAGGAACCCTAAAAGGGACCCTAATTTAGAGAACTACCGATGTGCAGACCGAGCCTGTTCACGAAGGCGCAGGAGCAGCGGGTCTTCCGCCTTGACATGTGGGGGTTTCCGAAAAATAGGGGACCCTACTGTAGTACCCTAAATAATAGGATCCCTATTATAAGGACCCCCAAATAACGTACCCCTAATTTTGGGGGGTCCTTATAATAAGGATCCTACTATTTAGGGTACTATATTAGGGTCCCCTATTTTTGGAAACCCCCACATGTGCTCTCCGCTCTCTCCCCCCGTCTGACGTCTCTGACTTGCAGCCCCAAACCCTAAACCCTACAGCCTCTTACAGTCCCAAACCCTAAACCCTACACCCTCCTAAAGTCCTAAACCCTCGGCACTAAACCCTAAACTCTAAACCCTAAACCCTAGGCCCTAAGCCGCAAACCCTAGACCCTAAACCCTGAGCCCTAAACCCTAGGCCCTGGGCCCTAAACCCTTTTAAAAGCTGGAAGGAGTCGGAAGACAAGGCCAGAACCGCTTCCTTGGCCGGCCGGGAAGAAGACTCTGCCTGGTCAGCTTCGGGCTCTCAGCGGCTGAGACCACTGAATAATAGAATTCATATAACATAACGAAATACACTGCAGGACAATATTATATATATATATAGTTTTATCATTTATTTGTTTATTGATTGATGTGTTTCTTTATTCATTTATTCATTGATTTGCTGATTTGTTGGTTTATTTATTTAAGATGTAACGTATAATATACAACATAGATCTCTGAGCCGTCCGCATAGCCCTTCTTGCCCCTCGGCGCAAGCACTCTGCAATCGAACTCCTACAAACAGACAAGGAAGCAAAAGGCCTCGAGCTCCAGCTGCTTCAAGGGGAATGCAAGGTGGTTTTGAGTCGCTTCAACGAGATGGGCAGTCAAGCTCAAGAGGTCACCGCAGTCAGATTTTCTCAAGCAGCGCTCATGTACCGGTGTCATCCCTCGTGGAGTTGTTCAACTAGCCTGAGGCTTAAAGTGCAGCAGAAACGAGGACAAGTTCCTTGCGGAAGCTCGCATCTGTTTGAAACGAAAACAGACTCGAGCTTCCACAAGGAACTTGTCCTTCTTGCTAACTAAAGCAGCTCCTTCCGCGACTTAGGGCCCAGCTTGGCCATGTCCCGTCGGTTTGCCACCAGGGATTGGTTCAGCTCTTTGACAAAACCTCACCGTCGCCACCATTCCGGGGAACTCCAGAGTCGCCATTGAACCGATCAGGACTCGCTAGGAACGCGGCCCAACTGTTCCTGAGCTTCTGTCAAGTTGCGCTGCGCCGTCACAAGCTGCTTCTCAAGCACCTGCCACGACTTCTTGATGCAGGACATAAAGATGCGAGTGCTAAAAAAGATCTCCGGTTCCAGGCACTACGACTCTGCAAGTCTGGATTCAGTTGCTCGGACAGCCTATCGCAAAAACAGCAACGCTATCGGCGCCTTCTTGTGCTTCTCAGCAGCTTCGATCTCCGCCTTTCGACAATACGCTGTTCAGAAAGCTGCAATTCTCTGAGGGCCCTCTGGGACGATGACTTGCCAATTCTGTGCGCGAAGCTCTTCGGCCTTTCTCCCGCGACATGCTGCCATAGGAACGACAGACTCGCAGAAAACACGAAGCAGGCCAGCTCAAGGGCCAGAATGAGGTGGGGGGAGTGGGCTGCTCGGGGGCGCACCTCTCGGGCTGCTTTGAGCCCTTCCAGGATTTCGCCGTGCTGCTGGTGCAGCTCCGTCAGCTGTGCCTCGTACAGCGACCGCCTGAAAGGGTGCTCAGCGGCTTTCGCATGGCTTTAGCCCTGCCCACCACTTGAATGGCTCTAGGAGTCTGCGAGTACCGAGGATGGGACTGATAGTCGAGCTGGGATGCCAGGATGGCATCCAGCTCCATGGAAAGCAGGTGCTGCTGGCAGCATGCGGAGCAGACTCGGAGCCGACGGCAGTCTGCGTTTGGGTCACAGCTCGGCCTCATCCGTGGAAGCTGCATCCTTGGCGATTCATCGGACGGGTGAGCAGGTCAAGCAATGAGAACACTGTGACTGTGACTTGTTCTTATAGACGATAACGCTCCCAAGCCTCGATTGGGCCTCTTTGACTTGTCCCAGCTAGAGAAGTTCGACAAATTCGGGACCCTTTCCACGCAGCCCCCAGCCGCCTCAAAGCTTGAATGGCACATCCTGCAACCGCCCGAACTTATCGGCGAGGGGAGCTTGTGATCCAGTGGCGACTCCGGAACTTCTACATTTATGGCTGGACTCTCCGCACAGCTCCTTTTCTGTGGCTGGTGACATGAAGCATCTTGGCACACACGCAGACGAAAATTAAAAAGCTAAGTATCGGCACCAAAGGCTCATGATGTTCCTATCTGTTCTGGGCACTGCCTCGTCTACGCTAGCACCGACAAGGTCTCATAGTTGTCTGATGTTGTCTGTGCGGTATCCACTTCTCTCGCCTACAGGGAATAAGTGCCACGACGTCGTACTCTCACGAGGAGACACAGAACCCATCTTTCTCACATGGATGGCTTGGAGAAGCAGACCAGGCCAAGGCGAAGATCGTTAGCATCAGCAAGGACTGAACAATTTCATACCCAGGAAAGCCAATGGTCGGGCACATGGCTTCGAAAATTTGAGGAGGGCATCATACATCGCACTCTCAGATGCAGGTATGCAAACGTTAGCAACAGCTACTAGAACACACACGACGAAGGCGGGTATGGTACTTGTAGCTGGAACGACAAACCTGTCCTGTGGTTTACCTTCAGCCGTAGGGACATGAAAGCAGCTTGGGTGCTGGCCTTTGATCCAGAGGAGGCCGCTTCGCCGCTGATCTCGGCGCAGGGAATCTGTGAATCTCAGAATTACCCTGTGGCTGCGGCTGGGACTGTGCAAGATGTCGAGTTTGAAGATTCACTCAACTCAGGCAGCCATCTTCAACGACCAATACCGACAACTCCAAAGGAGCCGTCTCTATTTTCTGAAACACAAAGCTCCACCTGAACCCATGGTTACGTACTGCGGTCTCTTGCCAGGCTTCCGGCGGCTGGAGCTGGTAGCGCCAACCTGATCAAGGCCAACGTATGGGTCGAGGGTACAGGCGTCTATAGGAGGTATAGGGTTGAGCCCATAGAGTTTTTGTAGGGTTTGAGTTTCTAGGTTTCAGGACATGAGATTGAAGTTGCATGCAGGTGTTTTTTCTCGCCGTCGCCGTGTAGCATCGTAAACATGAAGTAGCGGCTGAGATGTTGCTTCAGAGCCATGCGACTATTTCGAGAAGCTGCAAGCCCTCAGGTTTTTGGAATGACAGTCCACTCGGCGACAGCTCCGCTTCTCCAGTTCGCGTTGCGTGTGTTGCATCTGTAAGGGGGTCTTTTCCAGAAAAACTGTGCGCTCAAAAAAACAATCAAACCCGAAGCTTGGCCGGGGGCTCGTAGCGTCCACCGGAAGCCGCGGCTTGTTGCACCAGCCTGCCAAGAAAGGCGATCGCGCAAGCAACCCAGTCCATTTGAGAACCCAGCGCAAAGTTCACCCGACTCACTCATGCCAGCTTAGGACTTGCTCTGTTCAGTCGATTCAGTCCCACGTCTGCACCTGCGGTGAACGAAAACGTCACACTCGTAGTCCCAGATCCGGCCAGTGGCCAGCTGGAAGCCTGACATCAGCTCCAACACAGGAGACAGAAGAGAAAGCCTCCGAGCATCTGGCAGAAGCGATGACGCCGGTCTGTTGCATGATCCTGCACCGGCGACAGCTTGCCGGACCACATCTGAAGAAAGGATGGAGCCTTCGCATGGGCATCTTGGTATCTTCCACATCCCAGGTGGCCACAGATGAGGCATACCCAAAGGTCCTGTCAAAGGGAGTCAGCAGACTCCACCAAGGCATGAAGGAACCCTAGAAGCATCGTAACTAAGGCTCCCGAAATGACAAGTTTAAAAAGCTTCTTCGATGCCTCCTCTTTGGGGCAGCAGGTGCATGATAGCCCGCGTTTCGGTGGCCTTGGAGCGGTTGACTGGAAACCAACAACAAGAAAAGCTTCTTACCCGGTGTCGCCGTAGACATGCAGCAGTAGCAGTAGCGTAGCAGCAGCAGCAGCAGCAGCAGCAGCAGTAGCTGTAGCGTAGAAGTAGCAGTAGCAGTGGCAGTGGCAGTGGCAGTAGCAGGTGCAGGAGCAGAAGCAGTAGCAGTAGCAGTAGCAGTAGCAGTAGCAGTAGCAGTAGCAGTAGCAGTAGCAGGAGTAGGAGTAGAGTAGGAGTAGGAGTAGGAGTAGGAGTAGGAGTAGGAGCAGTAGCAGTAGCAGTCGCAG